CCACCCATCTCTCCTTTCCTCCCCCCTTACTTTTCTTTCCTCACCCCAACCGGTCGAGGCAGATGACCGCCCACACTGAGCCTGGTTCTTCCAGAGGTTTCTCCCTTTAATGAGGGAGTTTTTCCTCCACAGTCGCCTGTGCTTGCTCATTGTGGGAACTGTTGGGTTTCTCTATGTTACTATTGTTTTAAGGTCTTGACCTTTAAATGTAAAGTGCCTTGAGATAATGTAAATTATGAACTGGCGCTATATAAATAAAATTGGATTTAATTGAATTGAATCACATGGACCACTGTACCCCCCCCACCACCACAGACGCTTCATTACAAATATCAAACCTTTATTTACAACAGAGCGTGACGACAAAACAGGTTCTCAGGTGAATTTAAATACACAATCAGCTGTTTGTGATTTTTAACTCAAGTTCAGTTCATTCATCAAGTAAATTCTAAAAGTTATTTTTGAGAATTCAGAGGGTCAGTCTTTCATCGAGACGTCTCAAAGCAGAAGATAAAACACATGAAGAGTTCATACACTAATCGACTCTACGTCTTCGTCAGAGATGAAGGGAAACTCCTGAGAGGTGGACGCCAGGCGTAACCATAGTTACAGTTTGAAAAGTAAAGCGTAGTGAGGATTTTATCTGACGAGCTCTTCTGGAGAGTTATAAATAGTGGATATTGTAGTTGAGTTCGTTCCTGTAGCAACCAGGAGAGTGTGTAAACACCTGATGCAGGTTTCTGATTGATCAATAATCATCATGCCAACGTGGAGAAGAACCTCAAGCTCCATGTTAACATCGTGACTTTTATAGATCGTGTTATATTAAAGTGTTTTCACTGTTAAAAACCTGTAAACATGTAATAACCTGAGTCTGTTGTCTCCGGTCTAATAAAACGACTTTGGTTCGTCTACAAACTGAAGACGTTTCCTCGCTGGTGAACCGACAGAGCGATCCTTCCTGACAGCTGCAGCTCATCCTTCAGGAAACGTCCCACCTGCTCGGAGCAGAGCACGTCGCAGAACACCCAGATCTCCGTCAGGTCCCTCTGGATGTTGGCGTTGCACGTTGGCAGCTCGCCGCTCCAGACGCACCGGCTCAGAGTCTGCCATACCTGCAGGGAGGGGGGAGGAGGAGGGCGAGGCAAAGAAGCAGATATAACAGGAAAGAATAAAAATTGCTGAGATGAACTTTTCCTGAGTCTGGTCTGAAGATGATGAGAAAAACAAAGTGAAGAATCCCAGTCATCGTCACACCTGAACCAAACGCACACTGTGATGTCAGACACAAGGAGCTGTGACAACGTGGAAAACTGCTGAGGCAGATTCCAGCATCAAGTTCCTGTTGTGACCGGGGCTCCTCCCACCCCGACACGCTTTACTTTCCTAACTACACAAAAGTGTTGAATTAAAGATTTTACGTCTGAAGAAACGTTGTGACGCGGTATCAGAGAGCGTCGATGAGACAGCTCATCTGACCGTCATGACATTTTATGCAGAGGTCAGAGGACACCAAGGGACAAATCCACCTGACTTCTATTCTAGCGCCACCATGAGGCTGACAGGCTTCTGGGTAAAAATCTATATGGACATAAATAACTGTTCATCTGGCGCCATCATCAGGTCAATGATAAATGAACTTGTCTGTGACCAGCCTCGGCTGGACCGTGTGTTCACAGCTGATCAACAAGCTGCTGCAGGTGATTATCTAAAGAAGAAATCATTCATAATATGATCAATGATTCATGATGAGCTGCTGTTAATGATTATACTCGTTCTTCTGATCGGATTTTTCATGATATTTGCTGCTGACCTGTTCGATGTCCCGGGCCGACCCACAGTTGCTCCCTCTGATCACCCACTTGGCTCTCTGACGGAGGTGGAGCCTGTGGACAGACACCATGTGGTCAAACTGTTTGGACAGCGACTGGCAGCTCTGTGGAAAGACGCCTCGCCTCGTAAACACGCTCCAGGAGCGCTTGACCATGGCGTCTGTGACAGTGACGCCATGTTTGTCTTCCTGTGGCAGTTTTTGCGGTGACAGTCCCGTGACTCCTCTCTCTGGTTTGGGACAGAGTGATGACGGGAGGAGGTGATTCGGAGTTTCTGAAATGCAGAAGACACCGTCTCCTCTTTTTGTTTTTTCAGGTGGACTTCCTGTCGTCTCTGAAGGTGGATGATTGTGGCGTCTTTGAGTCTTTTGTGGTAGTTTTCCTGTTGTGTGCGGCCTGCTGTCAGACGCCAGTGAATCACCTGCGCAGGTGATGACAGGAGCTGGTTTGGCCGGTCTGATGGGGGGGCGGTGGTCTGAGGGGAACCAGGGCGTGAAGAGCGGAGGAGGACGACAGGGGAAAGAATCCAGGAGCTTCTCTGTCCTCTGGAACAGAGAGCTGAGCTCCTCCACTGATCCAGACTGATAATGAAGAACCACATCCTCCATATACAGGCGGTCAGAGGACAGACTGAACCCCCGTCTTCATCCTCATCTTCATCCTCATGATATCAGCTCTGATGTGCAGAGCACAAACTGTGGAATAGAGTTATATACAGTCAGTGTCTTTATATACAGTCAGTGTCTTTATATACAGTCAGTGATCATCTTTATATACAGTCAGTGATCGTCTTTATATACAGTCAGTGTCTTTATATA